GGGGGATTTTGGGCGTTTTTCCTGCGTTTCTGTTTCTTCCCATTGACAGCAGCCGTTTCCTCGGGGTTTTTCCCGGTATTCCCATTGTTTTTCCCGTCGATCCCGGGTTTTTTTGGGGATTTCTCCGGGGTCTCCCCGCTTTTCCCCCCCCGCTCCTTCCCCCTCTGCCTCCGGAGCTGCCGGAACCGGAGCCGCCGGGGGTTGAGGCCGAAGGCTTCCAGCCTCTTCCCGCTGAACTCGCGGCCCCCCAAACGCACGGCAGCGCCCAGGGGGGGCGCCCCCCGGCGCCGGGGAGCCCCGGGATTTTGGGGAGCCCCGGGATTTTGGGGGGCTGAGAGGGGCTCCCCTTTCCCCGCCTCCTCCTCCTGACGTTTCCTCTTCTCCCGGCGTTTCTTCCCGAATTTCGGCTTTGCCGGCACCGCCTCCGGCTCCTCGGGGCTGGGGGGAGGATGGTGATGATGAGGGGGGGTCTGGGGGGGGGTGCGAACACCCCAAAAACTTCCCCCGAACCCCCCCCGAACCCCCCCGTACTCAGCCACGAGGGATCTGAGGATCTGGTGCTTCTTGCTGAGGTTCTGCGCCCTGCGGCTGTAATTGGCCTGGTCCTGCCGCTCCTCCTGCTCCGAGCTGCGTGGGGAGGGGGTCCGTGAGCCCCCCCAAAATCCCGGGGGGCACCCAGGACCCCCCCCAGAGCCCCCTCCTCACCGGTACATGCAGGTCTTGCGCAGGGAGCACCAGCGGTTCAGCTCCTTGTCATCAGCTGCCAAAATCTGGGAGGGCAGAGAGGGGGTGGGGAAAGGTTTTGGGGGGTCCCAGGAGCGGTTTTTGGGGGGGGTCTCAGCTCCCGGGGGGGCTTTACCTCGTCCGTGGTGAGGCCGAAGTCGCAGGGCAGGACCCGGCGGTATTTGAAGCGACAGGGGAGGTCCCCGACCATGTCCTCGAAGTCGAGGCCGTAAAATTCATCCAGGTACTGCTCGAAGGGGCCCGAGGCTGCGGGGATGGGGAGGTTTGGGGGGGTCCTGAGAGGGTCTGGGGGGTTGCCAGGAGGGGTTTGGGGGGGTCCCGAGTTGGGTTTCGGGGTTTGGGAATGGTAGAGACTGGGATTTTGGGGTGGAAATCAGGATTTTTGTAGCGGGGTATCAGCATTTTGGGGTGGGGATCAGGAATCTGAGGGTGATGTCCCAAGGTTCTGGGGGGTGGGGAGCGGCGTTTTGGGGGTTCTCAGGGATTTGGGGTCCCGTTGCTCACCGGGGTCGAACGGGGGCTTCTCCCTCTCCAGGGCCTCCCGGAACCGCGTTTTCCGACGCTTCTTCCCGAAGGAAACCTCGGGGGGCGCCCGGCCCGGGGGGGCCGCGGGGTCGGGGGGGGGCTCGGGGACATAATCGGCATCCATCTGTGGGGGAGGGGTCAGTGGGGAGGGGGCTGCACCCCCCGATTTGGGACCTCCCATCCCCGATTTGGGACCCCCCCATCCCCGATTTGGGACCCCCCCATCCCTGTGCTGAGTTCTGTCTCAGCTCTGGGGGGTGTCACAGATTTTGGGGGGGGGGGGGGTCACAGCTTCAGGGGGGTCTCATTCCAAGGGGGTCTCTTCTTCCTCCTCCTCCTCACCACAAAATCGGGGTCCTCGCAGTGCGGCTCCGTCTGGGGCTCCCCCTCTTCCCTCCCCGTCCAGGAGTCCCAGTTCCAATCGTCTGAAAGAACGGGGGGGACTCGGTGACACCGGGACTGGGGGGGACTCGGTGACACCGGGATTGAGGGGGACACACTCTGGGGACCCCCCCCAGGACCCCCCACTCACCATCCAGCCCCTCCTCCTCCTCAAACTGCGGCTTCTCCTCCTCCCCCCGGCCGTAATATTCATCCCCAAACCATTCCTGGGGAAGAAAAGGGGGATCAGCGGCACCTGGGGGGGCACGGGGGGGTTTGGGGGGCACAGTGGGGGGACACCCACGGCCATGAGCCGGTCGTGGCGGGCGGGATCGAAATCCTCCTGGAGCAGGGAGTGGCTGAGGCCGAAGGCGTCGGAGCCGGAGGCGTCGCGGATCCTCGCGATCCTGGCGGCCAACTCCTCCCGTTTCAGGTTCTTCAGCTGCTTCAGCTCCTCCCTGCGCCGTGCCCGCTCCTGGGAGGGGGAAAATGGGGTGAGGGGAGGGCGTGGGGGGCAGCTCAGGACACCCCAAAACCCCCCCCCCCACCCCGGATCTTCCTCACCTTCTTCTTCCTCTCCCGGACCTGCTCCCGCTTCTCCTTGCGCCGCTCGTCCCGGCGCCGCACCGAGGTGGGGATTTGGCGTGGGAATGTCTGGATCTGGGGAGGGGGGAAAGGGGGGGAAAAGGGGTCAGGGACCCCCAGAGCCGCCCCCAAAATCTGTCCCCCCCCAAAAAAACTGGGGGTGCGGCGTGGGAACGCCTGGATTTGGGGAGGAAATGGATCCGGGATTCCCAAACTTCACCCCAAATTCCGGCCCCCCAATCGCCATCCCTACCCCCTAAACGTTCCCCCCACCCCCAATTCTTGTCCCTGACCTCAAATTCCTGCCCCCCACCCCCCAAAATCCCCTCCCCCCCGCTCCGTTTCTCCCACCTGAGCCGCTCCCGGCTCCTCGAAGCGGAAATTGTGCCGGCGCTCGAATTCCTGCTGCCGCTCCAGGAACTGCTCCCCCTCGTCCGAGGAGTCCTCCAGGGAGGGGAGGGAGGCTCTGGGGGGG